TGTTGCAGAACGTGGACTTGGCAGATATCACAATGCAAACTGCAACTGATGTGGGAGCCAAAACTCAATGTTTTGCTACAAACATGTTGAACATACAATCACAGGTGACTTCTCCACTGTTGACAACAGAAACCTTCGTCAGCTATTTAAAGACGGACCTAAATACAACCATCGTGAACAGCCTCCGACCATTGGAATTACAATTTTAAAATCATTTTAGATGCCTTCAAGCATGTTCCAAGAAACAAAATTCGAATTAACCTATTCTGTCCCAACCAGCTGCCAGCCTCAGTCAATTTTGCAAGAGAAGTTTGTGTTGTTCCCACTCACAAGGCCTCAAATAACATAACCATTATGTACTGCTGGAATAAAGTAACTGAGCATAATTTGATGTTATGCCATTTTTTAACGTAAAAAGATAATAACATGATTTGTGGTGTTTCCCTTAATAACCGTTTAACTGTTGACAGGATAATATCGAAATTTGTATGATTTGACACAAGAGATGTCAAAAGTCAGTTCACAAATTCAGTATCGTGTGTGTCAATGAGATGTGATGATCCCCCATACCACAATGCTGTCTCCACCAAACTGTCGAACTTGAACAACAACGCATGCGTCAGCTTACCGTTCACCTAGCTGCCTGTACACCTTACCCTGTAATCTGAGCTGTCCAGATATAATCTCGACTCGTCAGGGAACAAACCATCATCCCAATCTTGTCTCGTGTAGCGTAGATGTTGTCTGCACCAGTCAATACGTGTCTGTCGGTGACGTTGAAGTAAACTTGGACGTATTGCAGGCCGTCGGGGCCGGATGTTGTGCTCCCTCAGTCGGATCCCTACAGTCCTGGGCTAGATTTTCGAAGCTCTCTTACCGCTAAGATAGTCGTAAGTGCCATACAATAACATTAACTTACGACTATCTTAGCGTTAAAAGAGCTTCGAAAATCTAGGCCCAGGAACTGATTAGACGTCAGCCAGGAATGGTCCGAGCAGTCAAACTGGCAGTCTGGAATCGATTCCGTAGATGGGTCAGCCGAATGTGGAAGTCTTGCTGGCGTCACAAATAGAATCACTTACGGATACCACATAGAAAATCAGTCTTTACGATCGACGAGGCTGTACTAAAGGGGTCGACTGAGAACACACTCATTGCGATATATGCATGGAAACAAGGAGGGAATGATTTAGGATAAACTGTCTTGCCGATATTTATGATATCTGATAAAATCGTAGATGTTCCGTTTAGATATGTTACCAATTTCATTTTTACTATTCAAAAAGTGTCCTTATATTTCCTTAGAGCTACCTTCTTCTTCACATCATACACATTGAGACGATCAACTGTAACTAAACTTAATCACAGTTATTGCTGTATTAGTGTCACTCAGAACAACAAACTCAGCTGTGGTAATAAAGGATACTTGTCGGCATTATGTTGTATACTGCATCTTGTATTAATTGTGGACAAGTTCCAAACTTTATCTGGATCTTGGTTACGTTATTTGTACATACATCAACAAAACAAAGACAGGTATAATAGACGAACTTGTATAATAGGCGATTTCGACACTTGCCAAAGGCAAAGAAACGATTATATACCTATGGGAGATATAGCTCAAAAAGATTTGTGTAGATTTATTGTTTAAGATGCAAATTCACAAACAAGTATCCCTTTCTGTACTGACCATACCAACCCCAAAATGTTTACTGGAGAAAGTAAATGATGGTAATCAATCGCTTTCAGATTTCAGTCCACGTTATGAAACTGCTCTTTCAGAAAAGTAATTGTACCCTATCGTAAGTAACTGATATGATTAAGTCACTACCGTGAAAAATTCAAGCGGACCTTTTATATATCACAGACTATTAAACCACCGTGCCGATTGTATTGCCACCAGATTATTTATCAAGTTTAATAGATCAAAAAAAAATATCAATATTTCGAGGAAAATTAAAACTGGCGCACTAAATGCTTTATCCAAGAAAGATGTATTTAGGCACCAGTATAGATCAAATAGCATGTTCTTGGAAAAACTGCAGGAGAGAATATTCCTTAAAAACTTATGTACTTAAATATTTGTTTATGCATTTAAATGAATAATCTCCAGCATAAGTATAAGTCAGGCTTCATAATCTGGAGAAGCCTGGTGTTTGTTTTTCCGAGGATACTTTCATCGGTGTATCAACTTTCCACATTCACATGATAAAGGAGAAACGTAAACAACAGCCAGTTCCAAGTTCAGATAAGGAAAATACAGAGTTATCACAGCAGTAAAAAAAACAAGCAAAACAAATTACCATTATGGACAGATGCGCAATTACTATGCAATAAAATGGTGGTGAACATTGCATCTTCTATCTCCATATAACAGTGCTATACAATATAATGATCAATTGCTTATGTTCTTAATGACTATTTACAGAGCAGTCAAAAATTTACATTTAGAAAAAGACTGACTAACTATGTTATCGATACAAATATTACTCTGTACAATATTGATTTACTGGAAAGGTCAAATATCTTTTTATGTTATCTGACACTGTGAAAGTTACCCCACTAACTGTGTACAGCAGGTCAGGTCGATAGATTTGGTGGTGAAAGTGTCATTGTGTGGGTAGGTATCATAATTGCCAGACAGCTCTTGTGCACGTGATAGGTGCATTAAATGACGTTCACCATTGAAATGAGATTTTGCAATGTCACGTCGTTCCCTTCATCAACGTCAAAGGTGGAGTATGACAGTGCTCGACCTCACGTTGCACGTGTTTGAAGGGAGCAAAACAACGTTCGGGTGTTACCATAGTCTTCTCGATCACCCGATTTGTCCCCCATTGAACATCTATGGGATACTCTTGATGGATGCTTGCGCCAGCGTAATCCGCCACCTTAGACACTACAAGAACTACACGCAGCCCTTCAGGAAGAGTATCAAAACATTCCTCAAGAGAGCATTCGGCATGTCCTTTCTCCAATGGGCCACCGCTGTCAAACTCCTATCGATGCTCATGGTGGTCACACCAGATACTGACTCTCACCAGGTGGCTTTAATAACCCGCTGTGGTTTTACCAAACACTTTCTGGATAATCGGTTTTGGCAATTTGTAAAGTGGTGATTTTACTATAATTGAGCGGTGATATTTGAATCAGTTATATGCACTCAGTAAACACCAAAACAACATGTCAAGTTTCCTTTTTTGAAAAGTATAGATCCGTAGATGAAGTTCATCTCGCATAGTGGGACACGTTGCTAAAAACCAAAACAAAAGCCGAAATGATACACATTATACACTTACTCCCACTAGTCCTACTGGGATGCCATAATCTTTACAGCTTGCACAAGTTAAGTATCAAGTATTCATGATGGCGATACAAGCTAGTAGCAGACGGTATCAGCATGCATTAATCGACGCAAAACTCAAGCCACAGTTGCGGGGGAAGCAAACCAGGGCCTTTGGAGTGACGACTGGACGTATCGACGACAAGTCTACCCCACCGACTACCAGTAACTACTGAAAACTGTATTGTTAGCAAGTCACAAGAATTTGACATGACCCACGATATGTTTCTACTGGCCCATATAACTGGACAACTGGGCCACGGGTCCATTTCTTAGAAATGCTAGGATAAACACTGCATAAATACATGTATATACATGTGATCTAAAAGTTTGTTTTAGAAATGTGAAAATAATTGGACTTGAATTAAGTTGTTATAGAATTGAATTATTTTTATTTTGAAAGGGTATTTTGTAAGCGTGGAAAATGACTGGGCGTGATCGTCTATGAAACCAAAGACGTGCTAGCTGACGCGATTGCCTAACTTACGAAATAATTGTTCGACACTTGAATGTATTTGCACAATCATGTGCTTATGTGCTGTTTTATGTACTGTTTACGTTTGCAGTGGTGTAATTGTGGCCTAACGTAATAGCATGCTGTGTTTCTCAGATCAGTATCTGTGCGAGTTGGGACTGTATGCTCAGTGTACATACATTATATGCTTTACAAAAAGCAAACTGCTGCCATATATGAGGTAAGGCTGCACATTATGTACCACGTGACTGTGCGGTGACACTCCCATTATGCACGAATGCACCAGGACGTAGTTGGATAACCACTGCACTGATTCTGCTCCTGTTGGTTGAAATTGTTGTTTGTTTACACAATGGAGCTATTCTTCTGATTTGTATCCTGGTCGTGACTCCACTTGAATGCGGCATGATAGTGTAAGTAGATGTATCTGTCGTATTTGTCGCGTTATTATAGTACTGCTGTGATCATAGTGCTCGACATTGACAATAATGTTCATGTAGGACTGTTATGGTGGGTTTACTTATATCACTGACAACCGGTTCTCAATATCTGGCCGCATTTTGCTTTGGGTCGTTTAGAAAATGTACTGAACGTTGAGTGGAGTCCAGTATAGGGCTGGGACGGGTCCAAATGTTCTACCCGGTTACCCCACCCCTATTACCCTACCCTACGGTGTCCTCTCATTCTGCCTACAGCTAAAACAACACAAGTCATAGTCTGTTGGTCACAACTGTGTAGGTAGAATGAGAAAGCGATAGATAATACTTGACCCTATCTCCCCACAAGAACAAATGGAAGAGCTTGATTTTTTTGTGTGTGTCTTCGGTTTTTTGTTTGAGTTGTTTGGATAAGCGGACTGCTTCATTGTTATATGGACATTCTTATGTTTTTGTTACTAACTGTTTTCTACGCAATGCCATTTTAGAAAGTGGTCAAATGTAACATATTGTTACGGTTAATAATGTGCCGTGACAAAGGGTTTAGGAATCCCCTTTGGACCAGCAAAATAGAACACAGACAAGACTAAAATATTCAATAATATATTGAACAAACAATGAGCAAGCTACAATGAATGGCAATACAGATTTCTAATAAAGTTCATCTAATAAAGTTTCAGCATTCAATGCTTAAAAAAGTACAGTCAAACTTATTCAGTATACCTTGATCTAACATACATAAGCTTGAAACTGAAGTTTCCCTTGGGAAGTTGTGTTTCTGCAAAAATGCAATGTAATTTATATCAGAATTCAGAATCGCTGAAAAAAACTCTTAAATCTGCTTTCTATTTTTTTATCTCCTCCTCGTTCTTAACAAAGCTAAGATATAGTTCAAATTCAAATCTCTTTATTCCATTACTGAAGAGGCCACAGGCCTATAGTACAAAATATAAAAACAATAATGGCATCCAATACAATGTTTGCAAACGTTATTTTCTTTGTTCAAAAGCATGGTGGATATACATCCCAAGTTTACGAATATAAGTTGTATTATAAGAGTTCATTATCAAATTAAATTTAAACATGGTAGGATGTGAATAGTAATATTGTGGTAGATATTTTGTCCTTAAATCAGCATAGTAAGGACATACCAGCAAAAAGTGGAATTCATCTTCAATTACATTTAGTGCACAAAATTTGCACAATCTGTTATCTCTTGGAATATTATAATATCTGCCCTTCTCGATCATAAGATCATGTGAAGAGCATCTATATCTTGAATGAAACGTGGAATTTTCTAAGATTGATATCGTGTAGGTATTGCTCTGTATGGAAAAAAGATTTAAAAGTACTGTAAAAAGTGGATTTGGGCGACTGTATTAAAAATGAGTTCCAGGTCTGAATGTACATATCTTTTAATCTTTGCGATAAAGCATTATAAAATGACTTTGGACAGGTAATCTTTTGTGACAAAAATACATCACTAAAACCACAATGATTTAGTAAATTTCTAACATTCGTTACCCAATTTGATTTTCCGTTGGTATCAAACAAATACATCAAGTTATAACATTTCTTAGGAAATCTTGATGCAGGCATATTCAAGAGCTTTACCCAGTATTTGATAACTTTTATCTGTGCTTCTAGATAAAGTGGGAAGCGACCGCATTCACCATAGATCATCACATTTGGGGTATTTAATTTAACTCCTAAGACTTTTTTACACGCGTACAAGTGAACCTTTTTCCAAGATATAGTTCATACTTGTTAATAAATGGTGTTTTTTATCAAACAACTCAAACATATTTCAGTTACTTGAAGACAACTATTCTACAATTCTCAGAGTTTGAAAAATGTTCACACTCTCTCATTGATACACCAACTCCTTCGTTCATGTGCCTATAAGGTTCAATTTGTTATTAAAATTCAGAAGAATTCAAAGAGACTCTCTTCTTATTCATAATGGAATAGGTAGTATTTTAGTTGTATGGGATATTTGACAGACAGACAGAAGTTTATTCGTGATATCGGCCTCATGGCCTATAATACAGTCACAAACTTTGGCAGTTTCGTGAAATAGTGGTCATAATTAGTATTGGGATCTTACTTTTACATAATGTAAAAATAGTATATGTGCAGTATATAACTTTGGGGGTTTTGGATTGCAAAATTGACTGCAGAGTGAGTGGGCCTTTGTAGACATTTTGTAATTGTTTGAAGTAACTGTCTCTGTACCGCTGATATTTGTCACATCGGGAGAATACGTGATTCTCAGTTTCTGTTTCCGCGGCGTCACAGAATGAACACAAATAGTTCATACGTGGGGCATCCTCATTAAGTCTGTACATGTTCACTTTAAAGTTGTTATTCGAAATACGAAACTTGATAAGTGCACGGATCAGATGTTTATATTTAAGTTCTGTTATGTAGGACTCCAGGCAAAGTTCATCTTTAAACTGTGAATAATGACTGAAAACAAGTGGAGCTGTTGATTTCGTTGTGCCAAGTTTGGTAGGCGATATCCTTCAATCGTTGTTTGAAAGTATACATGAATAACTGAACGTTAGCAACGCCCTGGTTTAACCAGACATGAGAAAACCCGTTTCTGAATAATAAGTTTCTAACATTGGATGCCCAGTTTGTTCTGCCCATATCATCAAATGTTTTTAGCATTCTGTAGCACTGCAGTGGATAACGCTGTTCATTCATACTGAGTATCTTGAACCAAAACTTGATTACTCGAATCTGTGTTAATACGTAAATGGGGTGACGTCCAAGCTCCCCAAGTTATAAAGTATAGCTTTGTTTGAAGCACATTTTCCAATTTTCAGAAATAGTTTGAAATATATAGTATGGACCCTCTCGATTACATCAGAATATTTATGTCCCCATATTTCCGAGCCGTATAGTAGTATAGGTGCCACTTTTCGATCAAATATAGTTCTTGCACTTGAATAGGTTAGTTCTTGTATGGGATATATCGTCTCTTGTGGCGATACATCGATGTATCGTGGACCCCTGCGATATAAATATCCTGATATATTGCCTAATTTATTGTGTAGTTGACGATGCAAACATCGATACAAATATCTATATTTCATGTATATCATGTTATAATACAATCAAGATTCTGTTATGTTATGTCATGGACAAGTCCATTTCTAAATTAGGGGTGGCCTGATTTTTCTCATTCTGCCTACACTTTTAGTATGTCTGTAGGCAGAATCAGGGTAAACCTACCCTACGCGGACACCCGTTATGTTAATTCCTGACGTCAAATTTGCAAGAAATGATAATATATTCTTCCGCTCGGAGTCTAAAATTGCTAGTTTTTCAATATCTTAACCATATATTATATTCCAAAAGAAGTGACTGTAAATTATGTCTAAATCTTCAACGATAATACAACCTTTTAATCATGAAAGAATAACATATCATATTGTTTAATCTCTTAGTCACATGATCATAACGGGTCCGAGTACTGAGACGGGTACCCGAATCCAACTTATTACCAACCCGTCCCGGGTATCCGGGTTTCTCGTCTCATTCCCAGTCCAGTAGAAACTGATTATTTTTGTGATGACCTCAGATCGCGTATACAACTCATTGGTTGGACATTTTATATTTCACATATATTTCTTCTTAGTTGAAGATAAGAACCAAGAGAGAGTCCCTTGTGTCACCGAAATACATATTGCCTCATTTAATTCTTCTGTTGCTTTCTCTGGACATGTGAATTGTTACCCCCTCCCGGAGGGGATGCAGGAAAGGCACACACCTTCACTCCGTCGACCGCCTCTGTGGTGTAGTGGTTAGAACGTCCGCCCGGAGAGCGGAAGGTCGCGGGTTCGATCCCGGACCGCGTCATACCAAAAGACGTTTAAATATGGTACTTGTCGGTCCCTGCATGGCGCTCGGCATTAATGGGTTCAACAAGGACTGGTCGGCTCGGAGTCAGTATAATGTGTATAATGTGGTATCTCAGTGGGCTAGCACTATAAAACCAGCTTAAGTCTGGGCTAGTACAAGCTGCCGCACATACATACACACGCATGCACGTCGTCATATGAGCGAAATATTCCAAAGCACGACGTAAAACCCAATTTCACCTCACCTCACCTTCACGTCGTCTGTCAAACACTTGCTTTACGGGTTCTGGTTGATGTGTTGGTATTTCTACAAAAATATTTCCCTAGGCAGCCAAGTGTAAATAGACTCAAATAGTTGTAGCGATTGTTTACGGAGAATAGGTAGGAAACTGTTTAAGGATGTAAGCATGAATACGCTCATCATACACATGATAATGTTGTCTCTTTTGATGCGTTTGTATTTCAAAATAAATATTTTCTATTTCTATATTTCAGTTAGTGTATAATGTGGTGTGGTGGCGCGTGGTCCTGTGCTTAAAGCTCAGGTCACAAATCGGTGAAGTTAAGCAGCGTCGAGCTCGGAGAGTCCTTGGATGGGTGACCGTGTTTGGCAGCTTGACTCCTGAGAGTTCCTAGGACTTGAGTCCTGCCCCACAACGAAGCACATGTGACATGTGGTCTCACCTTAGGCAAGTGAGTTTGTTCAAAATTGTCTCTGTTCACCCAGCAGGAAAAATGGGTACCCGGTGGAAAAAAAGTCATATGACTATAACTTTCTAGCGCCTAACAGGCAGCTTGGGTTATCCGGGGTAATAATGGCCTTGATTGTTAGCGCTATGAGCATACCTAGTGTGGAGTTTGGCGCTATATAAATGGACACATTATTATTATTAATATCTGCAACCGGGATAGATTTTCAAAAAATTTACTGCACTTACACGAATAGAACTGTACATGCTTATCAAAGAGATACTTGTGAAACTTTTCTTTCATAATTCTCTTTTTTGAATGAAAGAAAGACATCTAAGGCAGTGGGCCCTATATCCAACATGAAATTATGAAAATGTCATTGCATAGTGCGCAATGTCTTTTATCAATAAATGTTTGAGCAGAGTAGAACAACTTACAAAGAAAACATTTTGACAAAAACACACTTCATGACAAGGAATATATGTTTTCAAAAAATCTACCAACACCATAGGTTTATGCTGTTTATACATAATACATTTGGGTGGAGGGGAAATAAATAGATGAATTCCACATGTTTTAGTCATTTGCCTTTATAAGAAAGTATGAGTGAATTATTTTAAGCTCAAGTCACTTTGTCAGCCTCATTGTGACTCATTAATAATACACAAATAAAAACATATCAAACATGTCGACAAAAGAAAAAAAATTTATCGGAGTATCACAGATTTTGAAAGATGAAACTTGAAGCTAACTTGTAGCTAAATATATTTTCTCTCGGTCACTTAATACCTCGACATTTCCTCATAACAGTAGCTACAGGTTGGCAGGGTCACAATTTACAGATTATGAGATGCAGGAAAAACTATTATACAACGTTAATCGTTTCAAATAGATACTGATAGGAGCTGGAATCTTTTTCCTGATCATGTTTTTATATTATATTTATTAGCATAAATATGTTTATCTTAAATAGCATCCGTGAAAGATATACTGCACGATAAAATAGAAGATATATATATATATGTATGTGTGTACATACATACATACATACATACATACATACATACATACATACATACATACATACATACATACATACATACATACATACATACATACATACATACATACATACATACATACATACATACATACATACATACATACATACACACACATAAATATATACATATATTCAAAGCTGAAATCTATTAAAACGGAAGCTCTGATAACATGAAACTGGATTATTATACATGCATTCAAACAGATGTAAAACATGTATGTAAAATATCAATACATTAATTCATATATCAACGTCCAAATCGTTAAGACGAAAGCCTGTTCCTGCCACTTTTGAAGCATACATTATTCTTGCAGCGACATTTCTCGTTGCTTCACTACATGTATTGTTTCGTTGCTTCAAATATTTTCTCGTTACTTCAAGTTCAATCGTTACCTGCCCGATGAAACCAGCTGTCTATAGAAATTTCATGTCAACTTCGTGTGTGAATTCAATAAATTAACAAATCTAGTGTTTCTCGTAAGAGTAACTATATAAGATATTACAAGAACTAATGGCAATAGGAAAGGGCTGAGACTGACGGATAATCACTGAAAATATATAGAAACAAATAAAACGAGCCCTATTGAGATTGAAGATTGAGAAAATCTAGGGCTTTTGGGGTGCGTTGGATTAGCCTATTGGTAATCGTCACGCTCGACACGCTAAAGTGAGTGAGTTAAAATGCATTGTCACATTGTGAGTATTTCAGACGTATCGTGAAGAGAAAGTTTCGTTCGACGAAAGCCGCTTTTTTTCAGCAAGATGGCCGTGTCAATAGCAAATATGTTTAAACGGTATAAATCCTGTCGTCAAAGGACAGTGTAACAACTAGATTATCACATTGTATTTAAAACTAGTTTCAGAGCATACAAAATATCAAACTGTTAATTATCAACACAATATATAAATTGGCTGCAGATCACCAGCAAGCAAAGTTTGGCCACCGTGGGGACTTGCAATACCTCTGCTTCGTCACCCAGAAGACCCGGGTTCAATTCCCGGATACAATGTGTGAAGTCCATTTCCACCTTGATATTGATAGAATATTGCTATAAGCGGCGTTAAACCATACTCACTCAGTGATGAATGTGACTTCCGTAAGCTTAATTTAAAGTACTGCTTAATAGACATTAACAAATTTAATATTAACACCAATGTCAGTTTAAAGAAACAACAACTCTATATTGTTCCATTGGCACCTCAGTTTATTTAGCTTGTCCAGGGAGAGACTCTCTGATTTAGTTTTGTTTGGTTGCACTCAGCAATATTCCAGCTAAATGGTGGCGGTCTGTAAATAATCGAGTCTGGACCAGACAATCCAGTGATAAACAGCATGAGCAGCGACCTACGCATTTGGGATACGATGTGTTGTGCTAGGCAAGAAAGCAAGTCTGACTACCCGATCCCGTTAGTCGCCTCTTACAACAAGCAACGGGTGCTGAAGACCAGTTATAACCCGGATGTTCACATGTATGAGAGGTTTTCTGACTGAGCAGCAATGTCAATACGCATTTCTGTTTGTGTGGTCACAGTGCTCAGGTGCTTCCCCATGCGCGTTCTTCCTGGTACTGTTAGTCGGTTTATAGTTCCACTGTGTACAATAACGTCTATTCACACAGTACAAACCATTTGAAATGTAAATTGAAAAGTCGCCAATGTCGTATAGAAATCGTATTTCGGTCATTTTGAAGTAAGCTTTTGAAATCGGAAAGCTATTCCTAGCTCTTTCAGTCAAATCGTGTCCCAGCTATTTCAATGGAAAACGTCTAAGCTCTCGCGTGAATATTCACTCGTTGAAATGTGGGCTGGTTGCAACTTTGCACCTGCTGATATCATTCAAAATATTCATAATAGCGGATGGTATTGATACTGGATTTTGATTATGTCTCGAATTCTCACTGTTTACAACCGTAACAACACCTGGTGCACCGTTGTCGTATATATCATATGGCTGAACAGAACAGAACAGAACAATATTCACACTCAAATAGAGGCATTCGTAGTAGATCGAAGTTAGACACACACAACTGTAACTCTCTAACTTATGACTACTTAGAGAATAGTTGTATTTCATGTAATCTGTATATATTTATACATTCTAAAAATATTATATTTATGCAATGGTCAGTATCGATGACGTCAAATCCTCCATTTTCATGTTGTATTAAACGTTGCATGGGAGCGGTGTTAATATAAGCAGTAATGCTTGTTCACCAATCCCAATTCATCTTCATGAATAAAAATATGTTTAAATCATCGACGTTAATAGAGAAAGCTATAGACTGAATGCTCGTATCTGTTTGTGTGTGCTGATAAATGGGTGAGCAAAAATGTTCGCAATTTTCACCTTCATAGTTATATTTGACTATGACCAGAAACCTTTTGAATTTAAAACCTTCTTATGAGCTGCTTTGTGAAATAACTTACCTCTATTCTTAATCGGAGACGTTTGACAAGGTCTTCAGAACGGATACAGATTCTTGTACGTTGTCAAGCAAGTATAGTAAGGTGGAAAACTGGGAAATACACACACACACACACACACACACACGCACACACACACACACGCACACACGCACACAGAGAGAGACAGACACCCACACACAGACAGACAGACAGAGTAAATAATTAATTATAACAACAAGGACGTGAATAGCGATGTACAGTAACAATATGATGACGAGGGATTAAATGTAGAAGCCAGTGGGGTTTACGGACTGTTTGTACAAGTAAAACAACCAGTTAGGGTTGGTTGATGGGTTCATCGTATGCAGGGATGAAGTAACCTTGATCTCTATTGATGAGGGGTCGGTGTCGTTTGATGTGGGTGGCTTCGGTTAATTTCCGTTTGGTGAAGTCAGGTTGGTTGGCGGCCAGTATTGTGTACTCTGTCCAGTTGATTTGGTGATTGGGGTTGTTCTGTATATGTTCAGAGATAGCTGATTTGTTGTCCGATTTGTTTGTAGACGCCTGGTGTTCTCTTTGGGGCTCGCACAAGAATGATACGTTTGAAAGATTACACTTTGATCTTTCTGAAAGGTTTCTAGGTGTGAAAGAGACAATGTGTGAAAGAATGTTTGATTTAATTAGATCTTGGTCTTAATTGTTAGTAACTGATAACTGTATTCCAATTGGATGTACAGGCGTATTTTGTGAAAATGTTGGTGTATAACGTTAAGACCTTTTCTTTACTTCCATTGGTTTTGTTGAGGTATGGTATAAGCAAGAGTTGCATGAACTGTATTACAGTACAACCAGAAATTATTGAGAATTTAAAGATTGTAATTTCTAAAAGAATTTCATTCATTATTCACGAATTGAATGTGAATATTAGCAGAACATAACTCAAGATTAAAAAACAGATGAACAGTTAGTATTTTGTCAAGTCACCATGGGCAGCAATGCAGGCTTCAATGCGGTGGGGCATACTACTGATCAAAGAAGTTAGAAAGTCGTGGTCCATGCTGTCCCAATATCATCCCACCTCTTCTTTCATTTCAGCAATATTTGTCAGTAGAATATACAATGATGGTACGGGACCAGGTCCACCCAAGGGCTCAATTTAAAAAAATTACCCCTAGGGGAGGCCCTTATCCCGTACCATCATTGTATATACTACTACTGAGTTGCATGCAATATTTGACTAAAAACGGTCGAAAAAGTTTCTGAAATATTGACTTTTAAGTGAGCCCGGGTCGGTCGGGAAATATCAAGGCCTTTGACTGACTGACTGACTGACTGACTGACTGACACACACACACACACACACACACACACACACACACACACACACACACACACACACACACACACACACACACACACACACACACGCACGCACGCACGCACACACACACGCACACACGCACGCACACGCACGCACACACACACACACACACACACACACACACACACACACACACACACATGATTACATCACACACATCATACGGTGATACCATTACACACACACACACACACACATCATGATATCATACGGTGGGCGATCGAAAAGGGACTGTGTCGTGAGGTACGATCGATCATCAACTCCTTTCTGACGAATGCTCTCGGCTGTCATCTTTCAAGTAGGTCTTTCGGTTCGCCGGTCTACGTTGTACGTTTTCATGGACCATATCGGTGGTGCGTTTTCTGCTGTCTCCCTCGTATTCTCCTGGCTGGTACAAGTACTTAACGCTGACCCGGTCCGGTAATTTTTTCTCCGTATTATCGCGACGTGCTGCTGACGACGACATTCGACAGATTTCATTTTGATGGCTTCGACGGGTCTCTTGCCCACGAGTCTGGTGACTTCGTTGTTGATGGCAGCCACCACTTGAGGTAAGTGGTGTTTCCATCAAATCCTGCGAGTATTGGTGTGAGAACAGACGCTCGGCTAAGGTGCGATTGAATCTCTTGACTATGGCTTGGCTACGGTGAGCTCCTGCCACACCTCCTCTCACTTGGACTTTGTGCTTGGCCGGCAGCTGTGTAGAAGGATATGGTGTCAATTGAGGCATATCAGATTTTATTGTTATTAGGTGAAGGTGTTTTATGTAATTAAAAAATTATGCAAATAAAAAGTATAAACTGCCAAAAATATGTTTAAAGCTTTCATTGGTGAAGGGTTATGTAATAAACATTGTGGTTGTTTAAAAATCAGATTTACAAAACTGATAAAAGGTTTGGTTGAGGGTTTGTTAGTAAAATTCTATGTGGTTGAGGTGCATCTGAATTATGCCCCTTTGTGGAATATTTACATCACTAAGGAAGTGAGGTGGTTCATTCTGGCCTCAATTTCATATTGTGTGTAATGTGACCAGAGAATAAGTCTCTGATAGGGTACAAGGTTTTTAGGCATGTTAAATACCCTGAGTGTCCAAGCACATGGCACTTAGTATTCAGCATTGCACAGCACACCAGCAGCAGCAGCACTGTTACTTGCCACAGAAGGTTAGTTTAAGTAATACTTGTTTTGTTTAATACATTAAAGTTAGAGGTTGTTCTTTATATGATGCTTGAGTAAAACTTTTAAAATACTACAAATAAATAATTAGCAAATTATTTCTAGCATAACATGTAACTGTAATGTATGCACTTGTGTATGCCTTGGCAATTTTGTGAAATTGACAAATGTTGTTTGCAGGTGCCAAAAAGGGGTAGAAAACTCCATTCCATTCCATCGATGGGTAAGGTGTATTTTCCTCAGTACATTGTATGAATGTTTTGAATGTGGTGTGTATTTGTGTAACATGACTATTTTAATTTAATTAATGCGACCAATAAAATGTTATCCTATTTGTTATATAGAATATTCTCATAGAATGATTGTTTACTGTCCATTGGATTCTTTGCCAAATGTTTCAGGGTGATGTTTTGTGGATTTACTACCCTACGGAAATAAAATGTCCTCCCCTATACCAGCAGCTTTGTCATTTTGAAGAGCTGGGATCGACTTGCGATACGGTAGGCCAAGTCAAGCGACTGCGTTTGTATATGCGTTCAAAGGCTTTGGCGACTTCGTTCGAATCTTTCATTGTCAATGGTTCGGCTTCCTTGTAGCGACTGGCGACGTCGACGATCGTCAGGGCATACTTGTAGGTTTTACGTCTCACCCTGTCGTGAGGGAGAAACAGGAGGTCGGCTTGGTGGACGCAATTCGGCGTTGAAATGACAAATTTTATTCTCGGGATGTACCGAGGCGCCGGCAGGTAGACTTGCCAGATGGCTTGTTTTTTAAGCCAAGCTTAGGCGATGTCTTCCGAGATTCAAGCGGCTTTCGGGATGGCGTCCAAGCCTTTCCAGTACCCGCGTGGGCTGTAACAAATTTTCTCCATGATGTATGTATTGCGTGCGTTTTTATTATTTCATGTGTGCGTGTGTTCATACACGTAAGTGGTGACTCCGTCGATGGCGATCAATCGTTTTGTGTCCATGGAAGACAGCGAGGTCTTGTTGATTCTCAGTCCGTATATCCTGTGTCCGTCACTTCTCAGCATGTTCATTTGGTGTTTGAACATTTTATTCTTGAACAGGGCTTCCTTGAAACTGGCGTGCTTGATGTGTTTTTTCACCACGTGTTTTTTCACGCCTTTTGCCTTTCGGATTTTGTTGTTGTCGGCTTTCTTGATGGAATACATCTTTTCTCTCAAGCTGACGTACTCGGCGATCGTTGTGCCCGCGCATTCGTCCTTCATCTTGCCGAGCACTTTTTTTGTTGACTTGGCTGTGCATAGGGTGATCTTTAGGGTAGTTGCTGGTGTCATAGAGGTGCATGTGTTTCTTAATGTCCTGGCACCCTTGAAGAGCAACCTCCTCGTGGTGGGTGCTGGGTAACGCCAATAGCTCTTCGCCCCCGTGTGGACCCAGGGTCGAATAGGTCCACAGCACCCCATTGCTGGTCGTAAGAGGCGACCAAATTGAGCAACCCATTTGCGTGGGTTGCATCCCTGTGTCGGCAGAGGAAGGGAGTCTGGTGGTTAAGGATGACGGAACCGGCAATAGTGTTCAATAATCCAACACACCACTTCGACCCTAACTTTGACTAGACGGGTGGTAGAATAGGCCCGATTCTACCAATCGGCTGGTCACGCCTTGCCCTGTGCATGGAATGTCTATGCAAAATTTGGTATTACATAACACTTTTGGCCATGTTCAAAATGTTAACTAATATTCTACCAAAACAAATTAGCCTCGCAGACCCATGCACAGAAGGCGGTGGCTCATGGGCTAATCTGGTGATGCTGACCTCCGATTTCTGTACGTCTCCAATTGATTGTCATGGACAGAACCATCCTGACCTTTAATCTGGAAGGCAGCTATAGCATTTCATGTCAAATTCGCTGGAGTATAACACCCCGTTATCCCTGGTCTTTGCAGCTTAGAGATCCGCTGCAATATAAGATCGTCCCTGTTGACACTCCACGGCGGGTGGGGAGAGGGGATGCCGAACCACATTACTCACGACATGGCTTCCCAATACCCCGGTTCAAAACGAAGACACATGGATACCGACAACTCCTCGTCTGACAAGAGTACGCCCCTCCGATCTGACTACTGGCCACGCTTCCTGATCATTGAGGCTTGTGACAAGCAACCTTTGCAATTAAATCCTTTTGCAATCTCCAAAGGTATCACTGGTACCTGCGGAGAGGTTGCCAATGTTACAAACGCCAGGCTGGCTATGAGTTTTCTGAGTTTTTCTTCCTCGCTGGATCTGACTAATTTCACATTAACGCGTTTTCTGAAATTCTCCATCGTCTTGGCGAGCACCGAGTTGTTCATGAGTTTGTTCAAGTTTTTCTCAAAATCGCTGGTGGCCAGCTTTTGCAAGTCCATGTTCATTCGGATGTAAAGCTCCATCCACAGACTTTGATCGGATTTGAGCGCCCTGTGTATTTTCGTAAGTTTCATTCCCAGCAACAAGTACAGATTGCAATAGTGAACGACGTATTTTGATTTGTTCATCAAGTTCAAGTTTTTCAACGTTAGCCGGCTTATTGTCTCCCAGCAAGTTTCGTTGATATTCGGACATCCAGTCCGTTTTCACCGTCAATCCTTCGGAAGCTAGCGGACAGCTGTTGTGTGATTCATGTAGTTCTGCGGGATGGTCCAAGTCCACTTCGAGTGCCTTTGTTCGAATCCGGCACAATGCTATTCACATCAATTATCTCGGGTGAGGCGAGCCATTCGAATCCCCTGGTGGGGAGACTCATGGCCCAGCCGTACAGGTTGTTGGCGTCAAGATAGCCGGGGTTGTGACCTGGAACGTACTTGTTGTTTGCTTTGGCGTATCGTTTGGAGGCCATGGAAATCCCACTTCGCAAGCCTTTTTCCACGAACAAGTGCATGTCGTAATCCGTTCACAAGTCCAATTTAACTCTGGTCTTTTTCAACACGGCGTCCCAAGAGAGACCGGGGGATGAGAAATACCACGTAGGGTCCAGGCAATACTGTTTCGAGCACGTTTTTCTGAATATCTCGAACACGTCAGCCAGCAGCAGCAAGTTGCATGCGTTGTGAGCGGCACCTCTGTACTTGCCGGTTACATGGCAGTGATCTCTCACAGATTCCCCGTTCAGGGGTTCGTCGAACACGTGGCAATTCTTAGTCTTCTTGTGAGTGAGTTTATCCTTCGACGTCATGCACATGAGAGCAGGGTCTGACAACTCTTTCCTGACTTTTATCTCTTGTTGTAAGAATGTGAGATATGTTTTGGCCGCGTCGGGACCTCGGTAGACCACGGGAGTGTTTGTTTGTCCATCGCATCGAACGACCACGTAATCAGACCCCCAGGCTTCGTGCTTTTGCGTTTTTTATGAGGGCTTCGAAGTCGGCATAGATGATGCAAAGCACGGACATTTGATACTCGTGGTTTCAAGACGTCGTTTTAGTCGGGCATGTAGATTCGGACGGCCGTCTGTCCCACGCCTTGGGAATCCTCCCGGTGCGATTCCAGCAGGTCAGCTCACATGTAACCGTGCAGGCACCTTTCGCAGAAGTGTGTTTTTCCTGGCGTGCTTCAATTGATCGTACAACCGTCTGCTGAAACTTTTTATCCACGTGTAGTGATACTTGTCGGCTTGCTGGAACATGAATATATTGATCGTCTTGTGGTGTTCGTTTGTGAGGGAGCTGATCCTGTGCATGAGTTTTATTCCCTTCATGTCCGAAGATATTGATTGCTATGTCGACGTTCTGTTTTTCGATTTTGGTGACCTGGGAGATTGTGATGGGTTCGTCTATGCCGTCCCAGTTGATCCCATCATCTTCGGGATAGCTCGAAAGTCTCTCTGAATGTGCTTTGGCCAGAAACTTCACGGATCTGATCGCTACAATCATGCAATCATCGCCTTTGTTTCTTACGTTGACCATGGCTTGTTTTTTCTTGTAGTACGGTGACAGGTCCAGGTACGACCCTCCTTTGAATGGCACGTAGTTTGCTATGTCCAGGTAGATCATGTTGATCGTGTCCATGACCCAGCCCGAGCCCATGTGCGTGAAGCGTTCCAGGGATTCTCTTTTTGCAAATGGGGTGTCGATGGACACGTCGACGGATTCGGATTGCATCGTGACATCTTGCTTGCCTCTGAAGTAAGGCTGGATGTGATCGGTGGTGCCGTCCGTCTGCTGTTTATCCAGTGACATTCTCACCGTGAGTTGAAATTTGAGGCTTCCCAGATCGTTCAGTTCCTCGTTGACTTTGTCGGCGATCATGGGTTTGATGTCATAGACGTCCATGATTTTGTCGACGTTCATCCTCCAGCCTCTCAGATAATTACCTATGGCGTGCTTGGTCGACACGAATTCCAGTTTCAATGGTTTGTGTTCCTCCAGCAGTTCGAGGAGCTGGGCTTTCCTCACTCGCGAATAACCTCTGAGGCCATGTTCTTTTGCTCGGAGCTTGAGTTGTTTCACCGTGGGTTCGTCGACAATGTCGAGCAATTTCAACAGCTGAGATTTCCTCAAACGGGAGTAACCGATCACTCCGCGTTTTTTGGCAATCCTTTTCAGTTCTCGAACGGTAATCATCGTTGCTATATCAATGTGTGAAAACCTTTTTCTGAATACAGAAATAATTAAAATCAGATTCGAAATCATATCTCTAGTAGGGTTTTCACATGTGAAGTCAAATCTCTAATAGGGTTTTTCACATGTGAAGTCAAATCTCTAATAGGATTTTTCACATGTGAAGTCAAATCTCTAATAGGATTTTTCACATGTGAAGTCAAATCTCTAATAGGATTTTCATCGCTATGTTTGGCTGCGAGTCAAAACCTCTAGTAGTTTGTTGGTGTGCGAAGTATGTCTCGCAGTTAAATGTTAGCAACCACGTCAATACGTTGGATAGTTAACTTTCAAAAATAGAAGCGATTTCCAGCATGCACTTTAGATTTTTATTCTGAGCAGTCGGTAGGATTCGTTGAGGTAGTCTCTTTTCGTCAAGTAGATGACGTACCATGTCTGCTCCGTGGCCTTTCTAAAGACGATAATGGCATTTCATGCCCACGCCGCACAGTTCGCATTTGTACTTCAAGAAACCCTTTTGTATGGACATCAATGGCAATATTCGGTGGTACATTTCCTGCCACAGGTTTTGGTTTTTCCTAGCAGCACGTTCTTGCAGTTATACGGTGCATGCCTTCCCATCTTTATGTATATACACATAAATATATTTTAGTCTAATTATTAATTATTTGGCGATCAACACTGTCGCCGCTAGACCCAGCGCCACGAAAAACAGTTCCCCGTCTTTCTGTTCCGTGGAAGTCCTGTAAAACTTCGAGAGGGTAGGGGGTTCGTCGCCGTGAGGTTCGAGTCGTTTGCCAGTGAGCAGGTAGTATTCTAGCACGTTCTTGAACGTTTGAACGGCGTGGTTTTTGCGCGAGAGTTGGTCGTTGATGAACTGTATTTTGGTGTACTCGGCTTGAGCGGCTTGCATATATAATACACGCTCCCAAAAAAGAAACGCATATAGGAATTTCAACTGTATTTTAATGTTTATTTTGAAACATCTTGTAGGCTTTATGAGTCAATGAAATATAGTGAAATTGCACACTGGGAACGCAGACTTATCCGTCTTTGGCACCAACTCAAGGAAAGTCAGTTTGAGTGTCACATGGAGACGTGTGGTTGCGCTGAAGTCAATACCTTGTGTGACCACTATGGGCATCCAGAATTGCACGGCATCGCCTCGGCATCGAACGAATACATCTCAAAATTTTGTGT